CTTTCATGTTTGAGCTATTTTCATAGTTCCTCACTGACAGTCAGTATGGTTTTATCAATAGTTAAGTAAATGTGACAATATTTAATAACACGTCAAATACATTGTAAATGTGTAAAATTTTGACAATTTTTATTCTTTTCTGTAGTATTTTCGCTGTTGTCAAATTTAACTATGGATGAAACAACGCGGCCCTACTAGCCTAGGGCGTTTGTTAACAAGATGATTTCTACCTGGGTCTAGGCACGGTTTTAAAGCGTGTCTACGTTCGGTCGTTAGTAAAGTATGGGACACTATGGAGGTTTGCTAACGTACAAACCATGCTCGGGAACAAGCTAAGCCGGCACTAGCCTGGGTAGAAACCGAGTAAAATCTGTTTCGTTAACAAGCGCCCTTAAGATGTGGATAATTTTGTATGCATATGAAAGACGGCTGGTGGTCGGCTAAATGGGAGATGATACGCTTACATATCTGTTTCCGATGTGATACGTACATTCATATATCATCACGCAGATGCGGTTATTTGATACAAAGACACGCTATCATTGCATCAGTGTTGCACTATAAATTGCATAAAAAAGAAATTGTTAGTATAACTATCATAATGGGTAATCATTTGGAATTAAACAAATTAACCTGCAAGATATGGCCACAGAAAAAAAACAAGATTGATATCTGTGACGTAGGCTAAGTGCAGCAACCTTATCATTAATTCTTTATTGCTTCTGAAGAACGGATCTTGGTGGAGTAAAAAATATAGCAATTTTTTAAGTACTTACATAGATCTATAGAAAATGTTACTAGAAAATATACCACGCATACCAGGCAGGAAACGGGACGCGCTTGGAATGTTTTCTAGTAAAATTTTCTTCAGATTTAAACATCTAAAAGATGACCTTCAACAGCAGTTAAATGCTTAAAAAATTAAAATTTCACATTTGATTCTCAAATGAAAACGCTAATCCTACATCGAATAAGTAGTAGCTTGTAATCATTATAGAGTCAAGTATTTGCTATCCAATCCAGCGGTATTTTCCTCATTCTAAATAATAAAAAATAGTTAAGTGTAATGACCTCGTACCCAAAAACTGTGCATTGTTAATTTGTAATGGAGGCCTGGGGGCGCCCATTGCGAATGCACTCAACAAAAAATCCCACACAATTTCTAAAATCATTCGAAATTACTTAAAATTTACATAAGAGAGGTAGCGTAATAGGCGATTCTCGCTCGAATTGGAATGCCAATCAGAGAAAGTACCTAACCTCCACATTACAGAAAACCGCAGTAAAATAACACTTCCTTTTGGCTATGTGGTTTTATAGTCAGTGAGTGGAGTTCCAGGACTCTATCAGGTAGGGGTTTCAGTCAAGGTAGCCAACCGTCTATAGGCTCTGGTAGCCATTTACCATCAGTACCTTAGCATGAACCATTATCGAATTCGAATAATTTGCGAGTGCGAAATGTCAATGTCAAAGGAGATTGCTCAAATTATTAACGAGAGTTTGCACATTCTCTCTTATCTGTGGCTCAATCACAATCATCACACAGTTTCTGTCTAAAGTACCTTATTATCACCGGAAATTCATAGATGATACCTGATTTTGAAAGCTACTCTTGTGCATTAACTTTAAAAACAGGCAACTATCTGTTAATCTACATGCGCTATATATCTGAATCTAATCCATAATTTCGGTACTTGGCTTGATTTCCCTAGTTTACTTTATAACTTATTTGTTTTTTATTATTTAATATGTTCAGTGTATATAGTTTATAGAAGTTCTCAGGGGTGTCCGTCAATAATATTCGTTTCTACAGTAATTTATATATAATTTCGAATTTAGGAAACAATTTTTCATGATTATTGGTTTTTAGGCCAAACATGTATGGAAGCTGAGCAATCTCCTTTAGTATGGAAACGTGGACAGCAGCGCCACAAAGTACGTAACGAGAACTAAAAACCAGTACACATTTGACAATGACATTTCGTGCTAGGGATATAGATCAGTCATACCTGTTTGCCAACCTTTAAAGATAAAAAAACAGTTACAACGTTCCATCTTCTAAGCTGGAGAGGTTGAGAGATATTGACCTAGAATGCGCAAAGTGCTAACTCCCAAATGACGTTTAAATATTGAAAAATTAAAATCATTATAACAGACAATGCTGCCATTTTGAAATCTTATTATAGCGTAACAAGCGTGCGATAAAGCTTTCAATATTGTTCCAAGATACTCGTACAATTTAGGGCGGACCAATCCAAATATGGTTTCACTGAGCAAACTAATGCGCAAGATCTATTTGAATGGCTTAAATAGATCGTAATCCAAATTAGTACCGACTCCATCCATTGCGTTGTTAATTTTTACTTTACCTAAGTACAAAGGTTTTTATAAAGTTATTTTTTATTGTTAGTGAAAAAGTATCCAGTGGTTTTGTTTTTAAAAAAGTAGATTTTTATTTATCGAAGAAACTTTTATTTAGGTAAATATATATATATATATATATATATATATGAACATAATGGTTCTCGAAGGTTCTTCTCACTTTAAAGCGCTACCAGTCCATCGAGAGATGTGGCTATAGACTTTGAACATAAATAAGTAAAATAAAGAGAGAAAATGAATAATTTCGAACAAAACATGACATAGTTAATATTGGAAAAGTACGTGATACCAATTCATCGAGGAATTCTTTGGGTATGGCTATGTTTATGTTTTCCGAACCTATTACATATTCATGGGCAAATTATACGCAAAAATTGGGACAGCAAACTTGTTTCCTTATTTCTATAAAGCTTAATACCTAAGCTATTTGCACCAAAGTTCTAAAATCAAATTTAAGTGAAATCCAGTTTAAAACATGACTTTTTTGTCACCCGTTAAAGGTCAATTTGATAAGCCAAACAAGTTATTGGCCAATATTTTAATGTATCTATACTAATATTATAAAGAGTTGGTTTGGTTGGTTGGTTGAACGCGCTAATCTCAGGAACTACTGGTCCGATTTGAAACATTATTTTTGTGTTGGATAGAGTCTGTGCGGAAAGAGAATGGGCGTGGTTAAAAACGGAACTAACATTAAGATTTATATTTGGCAATCAAAACCAGCAATCTGTAAAAGGTCAAAGTTTTGTATTCATACGGATTTGTTTTTTGTTGTGATTTCTTGCGGTTTTTTGTATTTAATCATGTCTAAAAGGGGTAAAACCTTACAAATACGGTAGAAAAGCACTACAGCGCCCTCCAATCTAAATCCCTTTCTCTTTCCGCACAGACTCTAGTACATTTATTGAGGAAGGCTATATCACAGATTAGTCTAAATAAAATAACTATACGACCAATAGGAGCAGAACACCAATGATTTTTTTTACAAAAAAATGGGAAAAAAATTCTATTTGTGAGTGTCCGTTGCGTGCGCTACTTAAATGGTAAAAGTTACACAAAAATCGTGTTTGTCGGAATTGTTCCCCTTCTAAAAGTTCTATTTAAAGTCCCCTTTAAAAGTCCGAGACAGCATATGATCTTTTAAGGATGACCCACTAAGTATAACCGTTTTCCTCAAATTAATGCTGGTGAAACCGCACCTCTAGTTTTAAAATAATTTTGCATACCGCAATGTTCATTAAGTTAATTTAACTCTATTAAATACCAATTTATATAACTATAAATACAAATAGTCAAGAACATTTTTAAAGTCAAACATCGATAGCCCGGCCCACACTATAAGCACCGAACCGTTAGTTACCATAACAACTATCTAATAGACAAATAACTTAGTTTTATCGAACAGTTACCAATTTAGCTTTGTGTTATTATTTACCGCAGCTATTAACCCGACCGTTAGTAATTAATAATGTAAACAAACAAGTGGCGGTGTACTTAGATTAGGTTAGAATTGAAATAAGACTGAATCTGACTTGCAGAGCGAGCGATGTGTAATGTAAAATGACATGGAATGACGTCGCTCGGCTAGGGCCAACCGGCCCGGCTAACAAGTTTAGCCAGGCTCCTGCAGTAATTAGTCTAAGCATCTCACATTTCTCTAATAACCTGGCGATTAGTCAGTGATAGCCAATCATTCATTGCAACCTATGTATACATAAGTATGGAAAATTACATATTTTAAACTTTGTAGTGTTTTTACCCTAAGGCGAAGAGGTTCATGGCCCCGAGCTGCAATAGCTTTGAAGGACGGCAAAAGCACATAAAGGCATTCGTTTGTTACTGACCTATATTTTGATGAGATATGCTAATTCAAGGGAGAGACCGCGAGGGCTCTCCGCCGCAGGAGGTTGAGAGCTAGGCGGCCGCGCTTGGTCCGCCAGCTATATTTCTAACCTCCAGGGGATTGGGGGGGGAGGGAGGGGATTGCCCTTTGCAGGGCAAGGGAGGAAGCGCTGCTCCACGCGAACGACCACTGGTCGACGCAGATGGCGGGCGCTGGATGGCTCATTTGAAGCCATAGGGGAGAAGGAAGCCTAGAGATGGACGGAGAGAACTACGCTACCTGGGGGAGAGAGGGGGGGGGGGGGGACAGACCCGCATTGCACAAGCTCTCTGGATGTCGATGCCCCTAATGCTTCGGGGCCTCTTCATCGGGGTTCATCGGGAGGTGGGTTCGTCTTAAACCGACAATCACCTTGCGGGTGCGTGGCTAGTTTGAAACCACGGCCTCACTTCCAGCACGCATTGGGGGGACCTCGGTCCTCAGTGAACAGTAAACGGTGCAGAAGCATTGTCTGGTTTTTATTTGCAGCATTGTGGCCTTCCTCAGTACTCCTGAACCAATGATTGGTTAATATATTCATCCCTATTATTAACTGAATCCTCAGATTTCAGAACAAAAGGCCGATGACTTGATATTTTCAGGTTGCTATCAAGTGTGGTATAAATTTAAAGAATATTTTACTAGAAAAACATCAACACATTTCTAATATTAATAAAAATGCTAGAGCTCCTAGTCTAATTACTATTTAAGTTAAATTTCTTTATCTTCTTCACAGGTGTGCAGTGCCAGAGTGCAGTGAAGATGAATCGGCACTCAACTTCACTATTCCACATGGTGACGATGGCAAGCCGTACAAGTGCCTCCGTTACGCACCGTTCCCAAACTACACCATCTTCGAGAATGGGACCTACTGCGCACCGTATCACTTTGATACATCGACGGAGGTCGAGTGTGACACATACGTCTATTTGGAAGAGCACTCTATTGTTAAAGAGGTAAGTGTTATTCTTGTATAACTTTACTTACGTTACGCGCCGTTCCCAAACTAAACAATTTACGAGAAAGGGAGTTACTGGGCGCCGTACCACTTCGACACATCCACGGAAGTCGAGTGCGACACGTACGTGTATTAAGAAGAGCACCATATTCCTTAGGAAGTAAGTGTTATTCTTGTTTAACTTTACTTACGTTACGCGCCGTTCCCAAACTAAACAATCTCCGAGAAAGGGAGCTAATGGGCGCTGTACCACCTCGCACCTCCACGGAGGTCGAGTGCTACTATATGGAAAGCACACGCTTTTAAAGAGGTTAACTTTCCTTACAAGAATAAAGCCTAATTTTACCAAAGTTCTAAATTCATATTTATTTGACTTTAAACAATTGACAAAAAAATTATGATGTATTGACGCGGTGCAAGTCGCTCTAAGTGTGACAACTAAAAACTAAGGGAAAATAATTTTCGACACTCGCAACAAGTTTAGATAACTTAGATAGCCCCAAACTTAGATAGCTTGTACTGGATGCTATCTAGATATCGTATACATATTTTACCTAACCTATCTGTCAAGGATGTTAAAGCTAATAACATCCTTGACAGGTAGGAAAATACGCGTGGTTTATCACACAAACTTAAATTTCCACTCTGAGATTCGAAGTCACCGTGGTTCATTAACCGCTAGGCCAAGCGGGTCGTCAATCATTTATTTTTTATTTCAACTAACGATTTGGTACTAATAAATTTGTCCGTTCTTGGTTCCCAATGATAGGTTTTTTAATATCGAGTTTGGTTCTTAGTAAACAAAATTTTCCTTGACTTTAGACTAATAGCTTAATCAAATAATATAAAAGTGAACTTTACATGTTGTTTTAAATGTCATGTGGCGGTTATATTGGGAGCTGGTAAATGGAAAAAGATGTGAATTGTTTAAAGTGGCCGACTATAATACGTCATCATTAAAACTTCTAGACTTAGATCCACTTGCAGTAAATTTGATAACTCTCGATTAAATTAAAACAAGAATTAGTTCACAAATTCAAATTGACATTGACGTTTTGATACTTTTATAAAGGATGTAACTAGTTTAAGTTAAATTAGGATTTAGAAAATTTGCTGCAAGTGGGCCTAAAGCTTTAAACAAAATTTAAACTTTTAGGTTAGCGATGTATTTTCATTAATAAAAATAAAAATAAGCCCATATATCTTTAGAAATATACATGAAACAATTATATAATAAAAGATTTTTATTCTAATGTACACCTAATACGTGCTACGAACAAAAAATCAAATCGACGTCATCCGACCAGTAGTTTGTAAACATCACCGAGTTGTGGTGCGATGAAATAAAACCAAGTTAATTAATTTAGGATTCAAACACCTTTTTATATTGTTCACCTTTAAAGAAGCACATAAATTTAAAAGCAATATTAGGTATAATCATTTCAACGTAGATATACGGCAAGAAAACTTAAAGGTCAAGTACAATTACAACAACACATTAATTTAGATTAATTGACAATAACAAGTTTTCTTCGATGAGCAAATAGGTACCTTCAACCCCTACCTCAATCATACAAGTCTTATAAAAGTAACTAGGCTGACTTTTTGTCAAGATTCCGTGTACCTCTCGATCCTACTTCTACCGCATATAAATTAACTAGTTAGCCAATTTTAGTTAGTTCATTGGTTAGATCGTAATATTTTTTAAATTTTATTATGTGGTCTTTTGGAATGTTAGTTTCCCACAGTACAGTAAGCTCTATTAGTACTTTAAGTTTGATGTGCCTAGAAAAGAGGAATATGTCCGGCCTGGATGACGAAACACCAATATCCTCTGGTATTTGGTTTTCATACGTATCCATTAAAATAGTCCAGTCAGGTGCAGTACCTAGGATTGAGAAAGGCTTGTTTTTCGAGTTTAGCAATTGAGCCTTCTTTTATTTATGGTTAATCCTTTTTTGGGCTCTAGCCACTGCAAGACTTGCTGCTTCAAGTATGACTTCAAGTACTCTATCATGACGACGTGTGTATTGCCCCTATCAGGGAGGACCTTGCAACCTACCAATATCTGCCTAGCAGTAGCTATTGCCTCACCAAGTATAGCAAGATTTTTCAGAGGCTTTTCCCCATCTTACTAGGTTACTCTGATCTGGAAGGGGCATTTAGAAGACATTGAATTGAAGAAGAATTGAAGATAGAATTTTAGTAGAGCAGGAGACCAATCATGTAGTAAAGTGCGCCACTTCAGAGCTAATGGAATGCAGAACTCAACTATGGTTAATCATTCACTTTGCATTTCCAAATTCATTGCGTGTACTTTATAGTTATCATTTTCGTCTTGTTGTAGAAAAGATTTAACTACGTCTCGGTCCCCCTTTTTCTTTGCAGAACCCAGCCCGACTCTATTAACCTGTGCACCTACTATAAATTGTTTATGGAATTGAAGTCTTGACTCAAGCTTTGTAAGACGTTTGTCTTTTGCAAGGGATGAGACTATTTCATTTTGGGTTTGTCCGAAGACATACATCTTGATGACTCTGAGATGTTTATAGCGTTCCGATAGTTTGTTTAACTTCATCCCAAAACTATTCTGATCTCTAAATAGAGTCCTCCTATTGAGAGTTTGGGATCGTAAGAGGTATATTTGGTGAGTAAGAACCCTTTTTGATGGTCATAAATTTTGTCATTTTTGTTTTGTACTATGCTAAAGAAATTTTTAGAAATTGTATTGGTTCGTGCTATCGGTATAGTAGATATATTTTGGATAAGTTACCTAATATTTATTTTTGAATGAGGACAAAAATTGCTTTACCAAATGATGTTAGTGTTTGCTTTCTTGACCAGATTTTACCCAATATGTTTCAGAGATGTTTACTCAACGATAGACATTTTTTGTACACTATATACTGAATACAGTCAGGACTCGGAGCTGATTTGGTTGTTTTCTTTTTAATTTGATAGTTTATTTCCTCTAAGGTAGGTACTTTGAAAATTGATAAGAAGATGGTGAGGTTTTTGGACGCTTGGATCCTCGTACAGTCTCCCACGCTTAGGCACTTCGTATGTGTTTTTAAATTGATCGTAAATCTATTTGTTGGTAAAGAGAAGCTTTCCGTTTTGTTCATTAAAAATGTTTTTCGAGTATTGAAAAGGGTTTTTAACATTCATGATTAGCTCTTTTAAAATTTGTAGCGTTACTCCTTGAATCAATTTGAGGATCCATATTAATGCCCTAGACAGTTAATGACTTAGATGGTTATCGCCCATGGCCTTGACTTTTCGAAGTTGCTTTATTAACTTTCTTTTCTTTCTACGCATTTTCGATTTTAATGTGTTTTCTTTGTTTTTTTTTTGGAACGTAACAATTTTGTGGTAGATAGCGCTCGTAGAAGTATGTATATACTGTGTCCTGCAAAGTAACTTCCGAAGCGATATGATATTCTAAAAAAATACTAGAAAAAATGCCACGCGGCCAGGCAGCAGACGGGGCTCGAACCCGCACCCTGCACCATCCACGTGGAATTTATTCTAGTAAAATTTTCTTTAAACTCGAACATAGTTAAATGTTTAAAAAATAAAAATACGCAGATATTTGTATAGATTTCTTTATTTGTTGCCTAGGTACTCCTTGTACTGTACACCACTGAATTACACCATCAATTCGATAAAAAATAAGAAAAAACGATAAAAGACTGTTGTTTATGTTAAAAGGGTAGCAAAAAAGCGTATGGTATTGACGCTAGCGATACCAAAAATATAACTCGCACCGTTATCTACCCTGACCAACCCCGTGAAGCCCTGGAACCTTATTCACTGAAACACAACACCACCAAAAGGTACTTTGTGTTATCCTCTAAGGTGGAGGATGCTTTGCCAGATGGGCGCTCCAATGCAACCAGGAAATCCGCTATGGCCTACCTCTCTTAAATCCATTTTCTCCGTCCGGCAACAGAAAATGATGAAATATTTCTCGAAATGAAATCAAAGTAAAGTTTTATAATTAAAGTGACTATTATAATAACATGATAGTTGGGCACATTCTAAAACCACAACCACATAAAGATAGTTAGTAACGAAAATTGGTTGCAACTAATGAATAGGTGACAATGATTCATGATAATTATTTTTTTTAAATAACAGTCTACCCCTTCGTAATATACGGTTGCTGATGTAATTTCACGGTAGCACTAACACGTATGATGGCATTCCTGATAAAATGAACATACCGATTAAAATATAATCGAAACATCATGTTAACATTTATTTGGCATTGTACTTTTATAATAATTGTATGAAAAAAAAATCTTTTCTTTTTTGTGAATTCCTATTACAAAATTGACTTAGCTATTTTCCGTGATGTTTGAAAAAGGCAATGTGACATTTGTGTGACAAAGGAAATATCAAACTACTTATACATGTTTTAGCTTTATCTCTGGAGGCTTTGTAAGTAGGTTATCGTCTTCGTCATCTCGAAGGCCTCTCTCCGGGATGCCTTCCTCGTCAGCTCAACGAACTTTTCTATTGTCTTTTCCATTTTCCTGTGGATTTGAGAGCATCAGGTTTCTAATTTCCACGAATGCTTTAGCAACTTACTCTGAAATATCGGTCATAACTTGAAATGAATATTTGTTTTTTTATTGATAGGTCCGACAAATGACTCCAACCCACCTGATGTAAACTTACAGCGATATTTGTAAATCATCCTTCCCCTTACTCACAAACGCGCGTAGTAATGGGTATTTTCAAACACGACTTTTAATGCTCTGTCCTTGTCGTTCCTTGGGGAAATATCGTAGACGAAACATTGAAACTATATCCATTCCAGGACATTTAGCTGATGAAATAGCTTATATTAATCTTGACAGACGCTGTCCAACCCCAATAAAATTTTAAAAATTTTAGCACCAGATTTATTATTTGGCGTTGTAAAATAACGATTCTAGTTGTAAATCTCAACCATTCAGGGATCCAATCGAATGCACATATTCAACGAAATCG